AAATGTGGCCCTACCCAGAGAGCCCCGGGGGGGGGGGTCAAACAGCATGGTGCTCCGTACTTCATTTTCATCTAAATCATCATGTGGTGCAGATATTTACTCGTCATGACTGGTGGGAAACTAGGGCAACAGATTACCCTCCTCTGCCTGGTATGAACCACCAGGCATTTGTCAGTGAGATACACCGAACGCAAACGTAACAGCCGATGCGATCTGATGCTGTCGTTGGCTAAATTAATACGTTCCCTCCCTCGGTGAGAGTTTAATAACGGCTCCACATCTGTCGGCGTCAGTTGCATTTTAAATCGTGCCACTATTGTCTCGATGGGGACCTGAGATAATACAACTTATCTACTCGGATTACGCTCGATCTGGATTGCTTGTAGCTTTTCCCAGCCGTGAAAGAATTTAATTATGGTCTTACTTCGATATGGTCGGTTTAATTCCTCCGATTTGCTGCCTTGTTGGAGAAATTCCCTTGGTTGTGCGATAAAGTGTGCTTACATTTACATCGGAGCACCTGCACAAGTCAGATACTGAGGCTTACTTACTTTGCTGCGGCTGGCTCCTTGGAAAGGACGAGGTGGCTTCAGTCATGATCATGATCCTGAAGTCCCTTGGGAGTGTGGTACGAGAACGTCCCCAGAGTCAATAGGCGTTTTTTATTTTGAAGACGCACCTCTAGCCTTTGCACAACCAAGTGCGAACTGCAAGGCAGCAGGAGGTAAACCGTCGCCTCGGAAGTGAATGGGTCAATGACTTTAGTTTTAAAAGGCCGGTCACATCGACCTTTGTCACGGTACCGTCTTGGGCTTATGCGGCTTTCAAACAAGAGCCAGGTGACCAGCCTGAATCCCACCACACCCTGGTAGTGCCGCCGCTGTTTGTTCGCGACTGCTCATTGTTTGCGGTTTGCCACAACTTATTCACAGCCAACCTTCTTCGACCAAGGTATCCTCTATCCACAACCCGGGGACGCGCCTGGTAGCATTCAGCTCTGCTTAACCCGAGGGCACCCAGATAGTGCGACACCTGATTTATGCTCCTCTCTAATATGCTGCTTTTGTGTTGTACTTGTATGCCTACAATTGTTGGATGTTTCATCCGGTTTGAGCATGGTGACATTACAAAACTCTTATTCAACAAGCGGCACACCCTTATGAAACAGTAGTTACTGTTCCAATTCTGAGTTTTAACATTCGAACTAATACAAACTGTATCGTGACACTTAGGGTCGCTCCAATTCATAAGTGATATAAACGAATTTAGAATATAACATTTGGAGAGATAAAGTTTGGAACAAATGCTCTTTACTCATGGCTATCGATGTGCATGTTTTGGAAAACGAAATAGCTTTCTGAATTGATGATCATGTTGCACGAGTTCGGCGCTATCACCTTCCACGTGACTTTATGCGCATTCTAGCCCCAACGATCGAATTTTGTAAGGACGCCAGTGCGGTTAAGATTCCAATTATCAAAGTTTAACAGTGTACACTAAAATAATTTGATCACATCAGAAAACAATGTAGCACTGGGAAGGAAGCGACCATAATGTTTCAGAGATGGCTCGTGAAAACTAAGGTAGATGTCCACAAGATTCAAGATAAAAGAAGCAGAACAAAGTACATGAATCAATTTTTAAAAATTAAAATCAAACATCAGGTGCAAAAGTTCAGACACGCCACATTAAGTTTTCGCATCGAGTTGAGTTGAAAAAAGCCCCACTTCGAACAACAGCGTTTTGATCGTGATTGCTTCTTATGTCATTTTTTTATTACACACTTTTTGTGTGATAAACAGCAGACGGGGAAAGCCTCATAGTCGCGTGGACCTGCTGCTCAGTGATGGAAACCGATAACCAAAGCCCCGGGACTTGGAGTGGTGAACCATATTAGGCCCCGATACGTTAGGTGTGGTATTGAACCGGACGACAGCACAGCTACCTGCACCACCGAAGTAGGGTGAATGGTGGAGGAAAACCAATAAAGGCTGAAAATTCAGGCTAATAGAATCCAGAAATGAGATTGTTGAAACGATAAAAGTTGTTAAATAAAGTGTGAGTAGCACAATGCTATTCTGTGTAACTGAGTGCTGGTATCCCTTGCCCGAGACAATGAATGGGCCGGGTTTTTTAAATCGAATTGCCATGTTAGTTCCCTG